CCTAGGTATAAACTCTCCTTCTCCCTACTGAGAGCATTATCAGCATACAGGTTCTGCCTCTCTCTCCACAGCTTGCTTGTACTGTGAAGACAGATGACTATACAGAGGACTGAAATGAGCATGGTTTGTATCCTATGATGAACCTCTCCCCTCAGCATACCTATCACTCTCAGAAAAACTCTCATTTAATGTACCCTTTAAAATAAACCTCAGATCATTTGTGTGCCCAGGGATACATCATCTTGTTCTCCATCATATGCTCCAAATGAAGACTCATATATTTTGGATATTAACCCCTTATCAGATACATGGTTTGCAAATATGTTCTCCCACTCTATAGGTTGTGTATTCAGGGAGTTGACTGTTTCCTTTGCTGCACAGAAACTTTATGATTTTTTTTTTTGGAGAGGTTTTTTCTATAGGGCGCATGCACTTGCCAGAAAGACAGAGACAGAGAGACAGAAAGCGAGAAATCACCTACCCTGGGGGGATGGCCACACTGCAATCCCTTCTTCTCCATTCTCCTCTTGGGATCTTTGGCATGCATACACATGCACCTGGCGTGAGTTTAAACCACTGGGTCTGGGACTCGAAACGTGATTGACTATAGGGTAGTCCAGTGACATAGCCATTATGCTAACTGCTGGTCCCAGAAACTTTATGATTTGATATAGTCCAGTTTGCTTATTTTTTGCTTTTGTTTCCTGTGCTTTTGGTACCATATCTTTTTTTAAAAAATTGCCAAGATCCATGGCAAGGAACTTTTCTTTTATGTTTTCCTGTAGAAGCTGTATGATTTCAATTCTTACATTTTAGTCTTTAATTCGTTTTGAGTTTATTTTTGTATGTGGTGTAAAATGAGGGTCAAATTTCATTTTTTTGCATGTAGATACTCAGTTTTCCCTATTTTTTCCTACACCATTTACCAAAAAGACTATCCTTTCCCCATTGTGTAATATTGGCTCTCTCATTGAAGATCAGTTGAATATATATTCATAGGTTTATTTCCTGGCTCTCTTTTCTGTTCCATTGGTGTGTATTTTTGCAAGTACCATACTCTTGATTACTATAGCTTTATAATATAATTTTAGATAAAGTGCAATGCCTCCAACTTTGTACTTCTCAAGATTGCTTTACATATTGGGCATGTGTGCATGCACTCAGGGTTCTGGCTCAAAGACTGGAGGAAGGTAATTGAAAAATGATCAAGCCCTGTGGAGGGTGCTCCTCTCTTTTTCTTTCATGCATGTTCTTTATTATGAATATAAAAAAATAGATTGGTCTGGATATTTAGGGTTTTTTGTGGTTCCATTCAAATTTTAAGATTGTTTTATTTTTCTGAAAAATGCCATTGGCATTTGGATTATTATATAAAATCTTTAGATCACTCTGGGAAGTAAGGACATGTTAATGAATTTAATTCTTACAGTCCATGAACATGGGCTATCTTTTCATTTATTTGTGTCTTCTCTGATTTCTTTCATAAGTGTTTTATAGTTTTCAGTGTACAGATTTTTTGGGGGGGAACAGATTTTTGCTATAGGGCATGTGCGCTTGCCGGAAAGACAGAGAGAGACAGAGAGATAGAAAGCGGGAAATCACCCTCTGGGGGGATGGCCATACTACAATCCCTTCTCCTCTGTTCTCCTCTCGGGATCTTGGGCATGCATGCCCATGCGCCTGGTGGGAGTTTAAGCTACCAGGTCCGAGACTCAAAGCATGGTCAGCTACATGGGAGTCCAATGACATAGCCATTATGCCAACTGCTGGACCCTCAGTGTACAGATTTTTATCTGTTTGGCTAAATGTATTCCTACATTGATAGGAGAAAAAGAGTAACTTCATTTAAAAATGAGTAAAGAACTTCCATAGACATTCCCCCCCCCCAGAAAAATACAAATGGTCAAGAGGTATATGAAAAAGTGTTCAATATCACTAATCATCAGGGAAATGCAAATCAAAACCACATCACCCTACACCCATCAGGATGATTATAAAAAAGACAAAAGATTATAAGTGTTGGTGAGGATGTGGAGAAAAGGGAACCCTTATACACTGTTGGTGGGAATATAAATTGGTCCTATCATTATGAAAAATAAAAGTTTCTAAAACAAATAGAAAACATAACTAACATATGACCCAGCAAGCCCACTTGCAGATATATGGCCAAAGAAAATGAAATCAGTATCTCAAAAGCATATTGCATTCCCATGTTCATTGCTGCATTATTCACAATAGCAAAGAAACAGAAACAAGCTGTGTTCATGATAGATAAATGGATTAAAAAATGTAATATGTAATGACATATTTTTTAGGAGGTTTTTGCTATAGGGTGCGTGCGCTTGCTGGACAGAGACAGAGAAACAGAAAGTGAGAAATCACCCCCCGGGGGGATGGCCATGCTGCAATCCCTTCTCCTCCATTCTCCTCTTAGGATCTTGGGCACGCACGTTCACACGCCCAGCGTGAGTTTTAAGCCTCCGGGTCTGGGATGCAAACCACGGTCAACTTCGTGGGAGTCCAGCGACATAGCCATTACGCTAACTGCTGGTCTCTATAATGACATATTTTCAGTCTCAAAAATGAAAAAGATCTCAACATTTGCAACGACATAGATAGCATCTGGAATACATTATGCTGAGTGAAGTGAGCCAAACATGGAAAGAAAATACTGCATGATCTCCCTTATATGTGGAATATAAAAATGTTGAACTTATACAAACGGAGAGTAGAAAGAATAGCAATTATTGATTTTTTTTTTTTTTTGGAGAGGTTTTTGCTATAGGGCACGTGTGCTCACCAGATAGAGAGATAGAAAGCGAGAAATCCCCCCCCAGAGGGGATGGCCATGCTGCAATCCCTTCTCCTCCATTCTCCTCTTGGGATCTTGGGCATGCATGCACCCGCACCTGGCATGAGTTTAAGCCACTGGGTCTGGGACGCGAACCGCGGTCAACTACGTGGGAGTCCAGCGACATAGCCATTATGCTAACTTCTGGTCCCAAGAATAGCAATTATTGAAGGGTAGGGTGATAGTGGAGAAATGGGGAGAGAGTCAAAAGATAACCATTTCAAACATGTACAATGAATTAGTGCTAGATATCTAATGTACAGTATGGCATATATAGTTAATATTACTATATTGCATGGCCAGCCCTGTAGCCTAGGGGTTAAGGCAGCTGGATCCCACATGACCAATCATTCAGTTTAAGTCCCAGCTTTGGCAGCTGGAAAAATTTGCCAGGGTACATGTGTATGCATGCCCCAAATCCCAAAAGGATGGAGAAAGGAAGGAAAAGTGATTGTAGTGTGAACACACCCAATTGGGGGTTTCTTCTCTCTCTCCCTCTCCCTCTCTCCCTCTCCCTCTCTTTCTCTCTCTAAGTGCACATGCCCTCTGGCAATGTTTTAAAAATAACAATGCTGTATTATATACTTGAAATTACTAAGAGTTGATCTCAGGTGTGCTTACCACACACAAAAGACAACTACATGAGGTGATGCATATGTTACTTAGCTTCACTGTAGTAATCACTTCACAATGCACATGTACATCAAAACAATATGCTGTACACTTTAAATCTGTGTAATTTTCATGAAGTGACACTTGCATTGGATCCTTCATATTCAGCTGACTGCCATCTAGTGCCTAGAACTCTTCCAATCTATATGTGTTAGAAACAAAGCAAATCACAAAGAATTAAGTTCAGGAGCCAATTCAAATGAAATTATAAACAGCTCACAGAATATACTTGTCTTAACATGCCTGCATTTGAAAAAGAAATTACATCCTAACACCAAAATTAACTTCAAGAAGTGGCATTTCAGTTTCATTTACTCTCCAATGGAGAGAGGGTTGGGAGCAGGTAAGTAGCTTTCTTGGTAGTTCTTAAAATCTGTTTAGAAGAATAAATATGCCATGAAGGCATTCAATACCTATTGGGTCGTTGGAAGTCATGACTTTTTTTTTTTTCTATGCAAAAATGTGTCACAACTTTTCCAATATGTGGGAACTTCAAAAAGTTCATATAAAGATGGCATTAAAGGGGCAAGCTGGTGGCGTGGTGGTTGAGGCAATTAGACCTCACATGGCCAACTGTACTGTTCCAATCCTGAACCCAGTGGCTTGAAAAACATGCTCGAAATGTGTGAGTGCATGACCAAGATCCTGAGAGAAAATGGAGGAGAAAGGATTTTGATGTGGCCATCCCCAAGGAGGGTGGTTTCTCACTTTTCTTTTCTCTCTAGTGAGCATATGTGCCCTATAGAAAAAAGATAATAAAAATGAACAAATAAAAAGATAGCATTGAAGCTTGAATATATTTTGGTGCAAAGTGTTGAAATCCATGCAGTTGTTTTCTCATAATACACATTTCCTATGAGCTTTTTGAAGACCCCCCTCATATATGTGAGCACACATTTAAATGTTTACAAAATTTTATGTCCAGGAAGAAAATATGGGATTAGAGATGGTGGCATAGTGGTAAAACACAAAGGTCTATTTGGATGACCAACATGAGAATAGGTTCTGGGTTTACATCTGGAGACCTCAGCATTGGTTAAAGCTTGCAATGGATCATAGCATCAAGATCCTGTTTGGGGATATTATCTCTATGTTATGGAAGAAATAAATGAACTTAATAAAAAGAACATATTTATCTTCAGTATATGACCAAATATATGAGTAATGAATCTTAAAGAATGCACAAAGATTTGTAAGGAAGTCAAGCTTCCTTGGATAATCTCCATACTCAGGCACTTGACTCTTTCTTCTGAACACTAGGCAGGATGTAAGTCATGGGAGAGAGGGACAAATGTGACCAGAGCTCCACAAAAGTCCAAAAGCAGAATTCCCTGAGAATATGCATTTCTATAGGTACATGCTGAGAAATACTCATCTTCCTTCTTAGGCAGAAGTTTGTGAAATTCTAATATATTAGAATGGAATGGAACAATGAGACCTACCTTGTCCAAAGTGTAGGCTCTAGTCCAAAACTTACCATTCAGTGGGAGAGCAGTGGGCAGAGAGAGGTGATAAAAGTAGGTAAAATTTAGTTCCGCATATATAGCCCAAAACTTGAAAGGCCTATGAGGAAAAGAGAGTAGAGAGGTCCTGAGTTGTGTTCTTCACTCCCTGGTCAGATAGACTTATAATTTCATGGGACAGTTCAATGGTCATTTTTACCCAGGGCTATATCTTTTCTCTTATGGACTGTATCAGGCAATATTGGTCTCCAAGGCCATGATATTCAATGCCTATCTCCTGCATCCTTCATACCCTCCCAGGAATAAGGGAAGATGGGCCATCCTGTGGAAGATATCTTACAAAGGCTTGTTGAAGATAGTGACTGGCTCCATCCTAACAGTTTATGTGATCTTTTGTCATGATGATGGGATGGTGTTTATGAGCAATCAGGTGCCACCAAGATTTATGTACCCCAAAGACTGGCAGCACCTCACCATGTTCATCCTTCTCACCCTCAATGGCTGTATCGATGTCATGAGCAAGAACATGCTGCCTCAGCGATGTGTCATCTTAGAAAAAGGTACCCTGGTTCTTTCCTTCCATGAGCTCCTGCTGCTGTTTGTGTCCCATGTGAAGAACTCATCAGGGGTGGAGCTGCAAGTTCATGCCCTGCTCATCTTGGTGGTGTTCCTACTGACGCTGGTGCTCACTGCAGAGCTGTGGGCTCTCAACATGTTTCACCTCTGGCTTATCGAGGCCTTTCTGTTTCTGATGATGGGCTCCTGGCTGATGCAGGCAGGCTTCATTCTATACAGACCTGTCACTGGTTACCCATGGCAGGATGATGATGTCAGCGATATCACTTTTGTCACTACTTTCTTCTGCTGGCATGTGATGATCAACGCCTTGTGCATCTTGGGCATCTATGGTGTCTCTTCTTTTTGGCATCGTTGTTACAATCCCAGCTTGAAATTGAAGGTATCTGAAGATGCTCTCCATCACATGAGCCCTCCAGGCCCCTCTACAGAATGCTGCAGAAAGTGAAGCAGTCAGAGGATGATGACCAGGCTCATCTCTTCAAAGAGCTCACCCTGAGACAGGGTCTAGGACACCTGGGACTCATCTTCTTCTGATGGGTTCTCTCAGCCACGTGTATTGCATCCTCTTTGGTCCCCAGTGAAGGTAATGATCCTGAGGGACAGAAGTTTATTCTTAACTGTTGGTACATTTCCTGTCCCTGAGTTTCTAGTTGCTGAAAAGTAAGAGAGAGAGGGACCCCGGAAAGGGACACAGATGAGATTATGTGGATGAAGGGAAGTAGAAGACAAAGGAACCCAAGGGAGTAGAAAAGTGTTCCTTTTTCATATTTCCAGTGAAGACAGGACAATAGAAGGGAGGTCTTTGAAAGGGAGAGAGCAGAGTCTACCAGCAATACCATCACCTGCTGCTGCTTCTGGGTTTCTATCCAAAGAATAAAGACTTCTCACCAACCAAAATTGCAATGGTGGCTTTTTCTATAGACTAACTAGTGACACCGCTCTGTGGAAGTAGCATAGACATATGTAGGACAATTCACTTACCATACATTGTTTGAAATTATAAGAATGTCATATAGATGTATTTTTTATTTGGGCCTGTTGGATAGTTCCATTTTTCTGTACATAAAGCAAGAATTAACATATCACAGCTTTTCAAGTTTCCATGAACCAAATTTTCACTAAATGCCACCACATTTCTTATATCTTACCGCTAATTCAGGTGAAATGAAGTGCCTAGCTATTTGTTTAATTCCTACTAGCCCTAACAGCTATTTGCTAGATTATAATTTACTATATCTTTTGCTTGAGTCTTTGCCAAATAGCATTCTCTGTAAAACCAATCATCAGTCACATTTTCTCTATTATTCTCAACTGCTGATACATTTTCTGTCCCTGAGCTCCTAGTTACTGAAAAGAAAGGAAGAGAAGGATCTGGAAAAGTGACACAAATGAGATTATGTGGACAAAGAGGAAAGGGAGAAGAAAAAGAAACCCAAGGGAGTAGGGAAGTGTTCCTTTTTCCATTTATTACACCCAACATTAAATCCACTAGCATCACTACCAGCAAGAAGTTCTCCTCCAGAAAACTATCCTATCCTCCTTAGAGCTGGAACTCTTCAGCAACTCATCTAGACCTGCTTTGCTATTTTACTCTTGCTACTGATATAGTCTTCTTTGTTCTGTTCTCATATTGTTTCTCTTGGGGAGTTTTTGCCTTACTAATTAAACGGTAGACTCTCTAAGAACAGAGAACTCATCATATCCTAGTTAAAGTGATCCTTGTAATTTCATGGGAAAGTTCAATGGTCATTTTTACCCAAGGCTGTATTATAGTCAGCTAATTTCCTCTGCCTGTTCCAGAATAATATAACATTTGTCTTCTCTACAGTTGATGCTTAATAAAGTCATTTGCTTATAGTCTCTCTTTCTTGTCTCTAAATGTAGTGTCTGAGTTCTCTGTGAAACCTTAGGGAAGCACCAACTATCCAAAGCCTGAATCATATAAGGAGCCTACTCTTCCTGGTCTGTATGAAAAATGAAATCTATTGACTTGTTCAGAATTGTTGACTTTATGCATCAATGTTTACTGTACCCCTTTAAGATATGCCTCATGGCTTTCCAAAAGTGTCCATTTTACATATGGAAAACCTACGACTATCCCAGGTAAATTTGCCCAGACTCATGGCTAGTCAGAGACAAGACAGGGAGGCCTGAAAACACTTTGATAGGTCTGAAAGCCTCTATTTTCATTGTCTGTGCTCCCCTGACTTCTTTGCAGAGAGTGGGATGTGACTGACTTAGAAATCCAAATAGCTAGGGGCCAGCAGGTGGCATGGTGGTTAAGGGCACTGGACTCCCACATGGCCAACCATGGTTCGAGTCCTGGACCTGGCGGCTTGCTTTCTCACTTTCTCTCTGTTCCTCTCTGGTCAAATTAAAATAAGTAAATAAAATAATTCTTTAAAAAAAGAAAAGAACAGACTAACTCTAGTTTTAAAAAAAAGAAAAGAAAAAGAAATCAAAATATCTAGAAAGCAGGCAGCAAGGAGACCCAATGTGCATGAGTAGAGCAGTGCAATCCCTCCAGGCTTCCTAAAGAGTGTGCCTACCCTATGACTTCTTTCTCTACCTCCACGACCTTCTGGGTGTAGAAAGGCTGATGGGCATTCACACTCCTGGCTAGAGCTCATGTTTTAAGTACAGGTCAAACTGGAGCCTGGGACAAGATATGTCTAGCCCTTTTTATTACTCCTGTTGCACCTAATTTCTGGGTTCTTTCCCATTATTTTTCATTTGGGCTTCTGTTTTTTATTGCTGTTCTTGAATGAAGTCCTGGTAAATAGTGAAGAAGTCTAAAAAACACTTACTCATTGCTCTTAACAAGTCATTTGTACCCTAGTTCAAAACTAAGAAATCTCTTATAACTAAGAAATGTTTCCTGACATAACACATCTTCCAGGTAATACATATGCATCTACAGAAACATAGGTCTATTTACACAATTGAATACTATTCAGCCATTAATAAGTATAAAATTCTGTCATTTGCAGCAACATGGATGAACCTAGAGATCACTGTGGTCGATGAAAGAAGTCAGGAACAGAAAGGAGGATGTCACCTGATCTCACTCATTTGTGTAATCTAAAAGTCTTGTTCTCATGGATACAGAGAGTAGAATGGCAGTTACTAGAAGCTGGGAAGGGTAGGAGGGAGAAATGGGGAGAGGTTGGTTAATGGGTACAGTCTATACAGGAGGAATGAGTTCTATACAGGAGGAATCCAAGGGAGAAGGAAACCCAAAGGAGTAGGGAGGAATGAGTTCTGGTGTTCTGTTGCACAGTAGGGAGCTATAGTCAGCACTAACACATTGTATAATTTCTTTTTTTTTTTAAGAGAGATATTTTTGGCTATAAGGCATGTGTGCTTGCCAGAGAGACAGAGAGATAGAAAGACATAAAGTGAGAAATCACCCACCAGGAGGGATGGCCATGCTGCAATCCTTTCTCTTCCACTCTCCTCTTGAGTTTTTGGGTGTGCACGCACATGTACCCAGCAAGAGTTTCAAGTCACCAGATCTAGGACTTAAACCATGGTGGACCACATGGGAGTCCAGCAACATAATCATTATACCATATGTTGGTTGAAATATTGTATATTTCAAAATAGCTATAAGAAAGATTGTAGGGACCTGTAGTTAGCGTAATGGCTATGTTGCTGAAATCCCATGCAGTCGACCGCGGTTCAAGTCCCAGACCTGGTGGCTTAAAACTCACGCCAGGCACGTGTGCGTGTGTGCCCAAGATCCCGAGAGGAGAATGGAGAAGAGATTGCGTCATGGCCATCCCCCCCAGGGGATGATTTCTTGTTTTCTGTCTCTCTGTCTCTCTCTGTCTTTCCAGCGAGCACACGCGTCCTATAGCCAAAAACAAAAACAAAAACAAACAAACAAACAAAAAACCTCTCTCAAAAAAATAAAGGAATGATAGATGTTTGAGGTAATTGGTAGGATAATTGCACTAATTTAATCATTACACATTGTATACATGACACATTGTATACATGTATCAAAACATCACACTGTACCCCATAAATATGTATAATCATTGTGACAATTTAAAATAGAAATAAAATAAAATGTTCTAAAAATAAATAAAATGTACTTTTTTTTCCCTGTAGGATGTGTGTACTCACGGAGACAGGGACAGAGAGAGGGAGAAAAAAAGTGAGAAAGCACCCCCTCACGCCAAGAGGATAGTCATGCCACAATCCCTTCTATTCCATTCTCTTCTTGGGATTTTTGGGCACACATGCACTTGAGCCCAGTGTGTTTTTCAAATCACTGGGTCCGGGACTCAGATAGCGCTATAGGCCAGGTGGGATCTAGCTGCCTTAACCTCCATGCCATCTCAATAAAATGCACTTTCAGTAAAATATTAAAATATAATTCAAACAAAATTCAGCCAATTCTAAAATAGATCTGGGAAAGAAACAGAAAAGAACACAGGACTTTCTTTTCCTTAGGAGAAAATAATCGAAGGTGAAATTACATTGCCAACTTTCATAATACATTTTCAAATTAATTCAAGAAATAAAACAGTGTGGCATAGAATGAAGCAAGGGCCATAGGCTCCCAAATGGTTTAGTGAAATACAGGCTCCAGAAACAGAAATATGGAATGCAAGAATTAGATACATATTGAGGGGACAGCCCATGGCATGGTGGTTAGGGTGGCTGGATCCCACAAGGGCCACTATGTGGTTTGACTCTCAGGCCCTGCAGCTTGCGGAACATGCTGGGCACATATTCATCCATCTAAAATTATGAAAGGAGGATAAATGGAGAATGGGCTGTGGTGTGATCATGGCCCATGAGAGGTGCTTTCTCACTTTCTCTCTCTCTCGTTGCTCTCCAGCGACTACACTCTCCCTCAGGCAAAGAGCAAACAAACAAAAACATACTGAGGATGACTGTTCGATTGAGAAATAACTGACTCACTAAAAAAAAAAAAAAATAGTACCTACCTCACATAATGCACAAAAGAATAGATGGACTGAAAAGTTAAACATGAACAAGGTGCTTTGAAGGAAATGAAGAAATATTTTTTAAGCTTTTTTAAAAAAATTTACTATGGAGAGCATGCACTCACCGGAAACAGAGAGAAAGAAAGAGAGACAAAGCACCCCATACACACACACCTGCCCAGGGGGAATGGCCATGCCAGAATCACTTCTCATCTCAGGACTTGGGGCACAGATGCACATGCGCCCTGTGTGTTTTTCAAGTTGCTAGGTCCAGGCCTCAAACTGCTCAGTTGTTCATGTGGGATCCAACTGCCTTAAAACCAACACACCACCAGGGTCCAGCAGTTAGCATAATGGCTATGTCGCTGGACTCCCACGTAGTCGACGGCAGTTTGTGTCCCAGACCCAGTGGCTTAAACTCACGCCAGGCGCATGTGCGTGCGTGACCAAAATCCCGAGAGGATAATGGAGGAGAAGGAATTGCAGTGTGGCCATCCCCCGGGGGGTGATTTCTTGCTTTCTGTCTCTCTGTCTCTCTCTGTCTGTCTGGCAAGCATATGTGCCCTACAGCAAAAACCTCTCAAAAAAACAAAACAAAACAAAACAAAACAAAACAAAAAAACACACCACACCATCAGCTGGCCCAAAGAAAGTAATTTTATAATAAAAGACATTAAAATTTTTCTTGAGCAAGGACTAGGAAAAGATTATACATTTTACTTAATTTCCACAACTAAAAGATACAAGTAAGAAAGATAGAAGAGGCACTGTGAAGAAAAATTTCCAACATTGTAGCAGAAAAAAACTTGATATACAGAATACAAAGAGATGTTCAAACATAAACAACAAAAAAAGGCAGCCTAATATAAAAAGGGCAGAGGATATATATGAACATATCTTAGAAGAAGAAGAAAAAGAAGAAGAAAAAGAAATGGCTAGTTAAAATTTAAAAATAAGCTTAACCTAACCAGTTCTGAGAAAATGTAAACTTAATGTATTCTTTCCCCATCAGGTTGTTGATAATTATTGAAGGTGTTAAAGAAATGGTATCTATTGCTGGAGAAGATGTCGAGAAAAGGAAATGATCATA